AAAAGGCGCAAGCCTAGCAATTTCTTGTTCATGCCACTTGTTGCGCGCAAGCGAGTTTAGTCGAGGGAGCTCCGGACAGCCCACTTTTTAAAGGGTATTGGGGCCACTCTTCGATGCTAGCCAGACATCGTTTTTTTAGCACGGTCGCACCTATTAGCACAGTTGGCTACGTACGGTGTGAAAGAAGTTCAACGTACATACATCTTAGAAGAGGTGGGTGCACCCACACGACCTTCCAATAAACTTGCTGTGGCATACTCATTTATACTGCTGGATGGACGGAAGCAGGGAGAATTTAAGATACTTACCAATTATACTATTGCCACGCCGAAAGATTGAATCGAAACCGGTTACCTCTGGATTGCGAGTCCAGTCGGCAGACCATTAGGTCACCGCACCTCCGATTAGCACGGTTGGCTACGTACGGAGCGAAATAAGTTAAACATACACACACGCAACAAACACACACACTGCAGGATCCCATTGTTGTTGTGATTCTAACATTATTTGAGTAGTCTTATATTGTAGATTATATTCCTGACATTGGGATTTTTCCCCCTATTATTTATTTTAATTTTATATTCTTAAGCATTGCTTGTTTGTTGGATTTTCCAATTGTGTGACTTTGACCTTGGAATATTGCGGTATTGATTAATAAATCACAGCAATCTGTATTCCTGTGTGTGTTTGAGACGAGGCGCAGTGGTTTGAACACTGCTTCATGCTCCTGGTGACCCAGTTTACATCATCTGCCGTTCACAACAGTAGCAAGCAGTGGCAGTGGCTTGCTACTCTTCTGCTGTGCCTTTGCTAAGGTCAACTCAGCCTTTAAGAGTACCTGGTGTGGTATCTGAACGTCAGCACCGGGTGGCTACGTAGGGTGGTGCTGTCCACACCAACCACTAATTTATCACGGTATACTTAATAGGTACTCACAAATAATAGTTTCCCGCATCTATAGGCTATAAAAGGCTAAAAGTGAGATATTTACATTTAGCGATTCCGATTTTTCATTAAATAGAAAGTATTGTCTTTCTGCTAAACATATTCATAATATGCTGTTGGTGTCTTGTCGCAAGACAAATCATCTATTTGCATCTCTCGCAGAGCAGTGCAGCACTCTGTGTAGGAGACCAGTTTGAGGAAGGCTACTTTATCATGTCCTACCACAGAGAAAACAATTGTTCAACGCGTGCCCATCAAACCAATCGGTTTTTCCTGGAATTTTGCCAAATTAATTGAAAGATGAAATGTGAGAATCATCAAAAGTCATTATGATATGTGGCATTCGAGCCATTCTTATAACACAGGGCTGTTCTGATGGTGCTGTGTTTCGGAGACGCAGTCTGCAGTAGTTTCACTGTATGTCACAATTTGACTTCCAATTGAGTCATAGCTACTGTATGTGGGTACATTTTTTAAATTCTGCACATTTGGGTCATGTCACCGGCACACGTGGCCTACTCCTTTACAAACAACCTAAGGATACCTTTCACGTCCACTGTGAAGCAATATGTATAGAATTAATGGTTTAAAACAGCCACATTACTAAGTAGGGCTGCCATGGGGATTCGAACCACCATGGATGTTGAACGTCCGTAGCCAACCGTGCTGATTGGAGGTGCGGTGCATGTATGCTGAGCTTCTATCATACCACCGCACGTAGCCATCTCTGCTAATCGGGGTGAGGGGGAAAGACAATAAACTAACACGCAACGATCAGTCCTAAAGGAGTGAGTTTTTAAACTAGATTTGAAAGTCCATTACTCCCACTGGCTTACTAATGACCGCTGCAGCGAGCGGCGAACGCTCTGCCGATGGACTCTGTTCCCGATTCCAACTTGGCTTTTCAGCGGTAGCGGATCAGCGGCTCTGACCCCTGAACCGCAGGAGCATGTCGTCAATTTGAAATTTAAATCTAATCGATTACCCGGTTTCTATGGTCCACGGGAGACAATACTGCTGAAATTTTAACAAACACCCTGAAAATCAGCAAATATAACAAAGCTGTAAATATAAAAGTTTTGTACGAGTCCGACGTGAAATATTTTACTTGTTAAAAAGGTCCTCGGTGCACAACCTTTATTAGCAGTTTTAAATAACGCAACTCTTGCACGGAGCAATAAAATACATATAAGCAGCTAAATTACAAATCAATGTGCAAAACGTACAGAAGAAAATAAATTGCAGTGCCTTATACAGTAATTTAAATTTGAAAATCTATATCGTGCCTCTCGCTAAGCAGGGCTTTATTTTATTATTGACAAACCGTATTGACAAACAGGTGCAGGCATGAGCTATGGACGGATTCTTCGACGAACCATATAGGACATTCATCTCGTTATTCCCTTTTGTCCTTCTCCACTTTCACATGAACTCCCTGTATTTAGGAGACGGGTGTTGCCGTGCTGCGAAGATCAGCACCGCTGGACTTGCAATACAAGGGTCGCCCCGGCTTTGATTTTGATCTCCCGGCGCGGCGGTTGAAACTTGAAACAGTGGTGCATGTTTCTTTTAAATCCTCCCCTCCTGTCCGTCTCTGTCCACCCAGAATGAAACAAAAAAACCTAACTGGTCCTCCACGGTTCGTTGAAGTGTTTTAAAGAGAAAATACACCACGTGAGATCTCCCTTCCTGTGTATTGTCCACAGCCTCCTGTCGAGGTGGAACGCTTTGCGGCTGATGTCTGTTGGCTCAGTCGCCCATGAACAAAGACAGCTTCATGGCTCAATGGCCTTTACCGGGGAAATAAACTTCTAAGTCTCTCGGCAGTTATACTTAAATGGTACTTTTCGATTTAAAGCTTTCGTGACTGCAGGGATTCATCTTCTTGGTTCTTTCGGTAAAGTCACGTAGAAGGGAAATAATACAATTAAAACATAATAAAATAATTCTCATTCAGACGCTGTCTTCCCGACAGACCTGTTCTTCACCTGAGGACGGCTGCTTGCGTTGTGTTTATTTTTTATTATTTTATTATTTCCCTTCTACGTGACTTTACCGAAAGAACCAAGAAGATTAAACGGTACTTGTGAGTCCTCCACACTCCATTTGCCAACTGTGCAACATCAAGCACACTTCAATAGCTCCGTTGAGACAGATTATTAATTGCGGTTAATTAGAGGTAGTAAAAGACGAAATTGCCGTTGAAGTTATGGGTTGCATATGAAACAAAAGTTTTCGAGGTTACGCAACATAAAATAATATCGTAGCCCGTGCAATTGTCTGCGATGCATTTTTATTCATTGTAACACATCATGGGGGCTTGCCGTGTTGTAACGGTCAGCAGAACTGGACTTGCAACCCAGAGGTTGGCAGTTCGATTCGTTACCCCTGCCACAACAATGGCGCAAGTTTAATAAATTATCCCATCCGCCACCGCATCTCTCCACCCAGCCGTATCTAAAATAGAAACGGGTAGAGCTTGGGGTTAGTCGACCGCGCGTGTTGGGGTTAGAGTGCAATAATGCCCACCTCCCCCAAAGAGACTGGCAAGTGTGGAAGAGGAGACCATATACACCCCTAATTCTAGATTTGAAGCTTTCGTGACTGCAATGATTCATATTCTTAGGTTTTTTCGGTAAGGTCACGTAGATAAAAAATTAAAATTATTAAAAGTAAAATAAAAAATCACGACGTTTCGGAGGCAACACAAGCTTCCGTCTTCAGGTGTAACCATATCAAGTGATACTTGATACAGCTATCGTGCTGTGACGGTTCCACCTGAAGATGGAAGCTTGTGTTGCCTCCGAAACGTCGTGATTTTTATTTTATTTTTATTTTACTTTCATAAATTTTAATTTTTTACCTACGTGACTTTACCGTAAAAACCTAAGAATACATATACACCCCCCCCCACTCCCTCCCCGAGTGGGAAGGCCCTTGTTACCAGCAGTGGCGTGAGCGAAAGAAGTGCGCGAGAAAAAAATAGGCAGCTCTTGTGGACACGCATCTCGGACTGTGCGCACTGTGTCCCACATTAGGGTGAAACTTTAGCGGGGACGAAAGGTGTTGCCGCGCTGTAATGATTCGCTGAGTTGACCTTGGAAAGGCCCAGTAGAATTTTACCCCTCTGCTTGCCCTCTTGTCGTGAACGGCCGTGGGAATTGAAACCAGGTCACCGGGAGCGATGGAGCAGTGCACAGACAACCGGATCTCTTCTCAAACACACACGCAGGCACAAGGATCGCAATACCACGATGTGTTGATCAATAGCGTAATATTCCAATGTTACACGATTGAAAGTCTAATGAACATACAAGCATGGAGAGATAGAGACAAACAGGTGCACGCACAAGCATTGAGACACGCTTACGTATACAAAAACAAAGATCACCCGTGTAGCTTCAACAGATTGTAGGGGCAAGTGCTGTTAGCGAGCACCGTTGAAGGCCAGCACGGCACACGAGGGGGTGGGTGGCCAACACCACGACCGATCATTTTTGCCTCCCCTGTAGCGATGTTGACACACCCCACCAGGTACTTGTTTGAGGCTGAGCCGACCTAGGGGAGGCCCGGGCCGATTCAGATAATCGTCAATGGTGTTGGCCGTGAGTGAGAATCAAAACTCGGGCCGCCGGGTTCATAACGCAGCGTGCTAACCATTGCCTAACCACGTCCCACATATGTATTTATATATATATATGCACATCCATATTTATAACAGAACTGAAATAGCTCAATTTAGTTCCTTCAGGAACTTGAAAAAGTTCCCAGCACATGGAAAAAAACGTCATACATCATGCCGAACAGCACCCCCGATTAGCATGGTTGGCTACGTACGGTGCGACAGAAATGTTACGTACATACGAAAGATAATGATTTACTTTTGTTTCGCAACTTTGTTCGAACGTGGTTTTAGTTTTGCACCTAGTTATATAGAACCGAACCACTTACAGATCGTCCCTGCAATGATTATCTGTAGTGCGTTTGCACATCCCCATCACGAGTTGTCGATTAACAGAACTTTTTTTTGTGCCTCCGTATTGTGTCGATTGTAGTTTCAGATTCAGCGGCTGTGGAGCCCTCATGCACCGATGCCATCGTCGATGCCATGCGCTTTGACTGTCACCCGGACGCCAAAGCTTCTCAGGTGCCTCTATTATTCGTGCAGCTCGCGTGTCACGTGGGCACCAGCGTCCACGGTGCATTCAAAACAACGCCAACTGAATACCAACAACCGGCACGTTTGCGTGATCGTACTCAGCCTTAAAAAAACAAAAAAATGAGAAACCGGTGCAATCTATAGGCAATAAAACAGGTGTTAAAATGTTAAAACACCAAACAGATGTTTTGCAAGGAATCTTGTCTGCATTAACCATACATACTTGTGGTTAACATGCAAGCAAAAACATACTCTGGTAATATATGCATTGTCTTTAAAACTGATTGTTCCACACTAGAGACAGCTTTTTTTGAGCCTCGACTCAAACAGAGAACGCCAAAAGGCGAACAGCACAGAGACAATGCACTATCAGGGCAGTCTGTAAACATCTACGAACCTGGCAAACCAGAGATCGATTCCCGCTTATGGCCAACATCAGTGGCGATGATCTAAACCGGTCCTGGGCCTCCCCTAGGTCGACTCAGCCTCAAATGACTACCTGGTGCGGTGTGTTAACATCACCACCAGGGAGACAAAGGCGGTCGGGCGTGGTGTTGGCCACCCACCCCCTCGTGTGCTCAGCAGGCGTCCACAGTTGCCTGCTGACGCCACTTGCCCCAACAGTCTATTTGGCTGGAATAAAATATTTGGCTGCTAATAATTTCCAAGGTGATAAGCCACTTTGTCGAGCCATCACTTGTGGCCAGGTCGCTTTTGAAAAAAACAGCGCAGTGGGCCTTACCTGGTAAAAGGTAAAAAAAAAGTAAATTAGTTATAGTTAATAGTTCTATTAAGGCTATACGGGGGATCTTTGTCTTTGTTTGTCTCCATGTGTTGATGCAGGAATCTTGCGAGGCCCGGGGCTGCTGCTGGAAGGAATCTGGCACTCCCAATGTGCCCTGGTGTTTCTACTTAAAAAACAGCGGCGGCTATGACATTGTCAGCTCGAGCAAAACTCCAGCCGGTACGTCCACCCCCGCCCGCCCCCACGTATAACAGAAATAATAATCAATACTAACAATGACTCAATTGTTCATGTCACCGTAAGCCAGGTCTAACGCCTACCGAGTTGAGCTAACATGGTGTTCTCATCTGAACCAAGCTGTTGCGAGGAGTATATGGCACCACTGATGGAGATAGCCAAATTATAGTTGTGTTTAATCCAACATATTGGAAAATTAAGCCGGGTTATGAGGTCATCATGTGAACCAATTTTTTTTTTCAGATTTATCCTAAAACGTGACCTCACGTCTGTATGGATATATGTTAAACTTTTATCGCACCGTACATAGACAACCATACTAATCGGATGTGTGGTGGAATGACAACACATTAAACGCAAAAAAACTGTTCTAAAGATGTTTTTTTTGATATCTGACGTCTCTTTTGTTTAAATTATTAGAATCTGAAAAATAATGACGTCAAAATTATTTTCTTACCGTTGGGACGTTATATTCGAATGTGAAATGTCATGAAGAATATTTAAAAAAAATCTATATATATAAATCGTTCATGTCTGTCTGTCTGTGTGTGTGTGTGTGGACTTTGGCCCATACGCACTTTCATTGGACGGCGGTTGCCCCTGGCAACGGCTAGCCACGCCTTCGCCGCTTTCATTGGACCTGGCAACGGCTAGCCACGCCTTCGCCAAGGGCTGCAGTTTCATTGGACGGCGGTTGCCCCTGCCAACGGCTAGCCACGCCTTCGCCACTTTCATAAGCTCCGTATTTAATTAAATAATAGCCATTACACAGTATTGTTGGAGCGCTAGGGGGGGGGGAAGGAACGCCACCCGTACCCTGCCTCTTCCAAGCCGACAATTTTAGGCGAGGCCGCAGGCTTTGCACGCTACTAGGCCTCGACACCCACCACGCCACTCTGAGGTAAATTCATCAAAGTTTTTCCTACTCTTCACTACACCCCCACCACAATGTGTGCTATTAATATTACTTTTAAACCCAACGCGCCAACAATCGATTACTTTAATGTTCACTGTACAAATACTCATTAAGCTGGGTGAGCGTACTGCCAGTCTATCATGTACACTGTAGCCTGCTTATTAAGCTCGGTGAGCGTACTGCCACTCTATCATGTACACTCTAGCCTGCTTATGAAGCTGAGTGCGTGTACTGGCAGTCTATAATGTGGACTCTTGCATGGTTATTATAATCGATTCTTTATATGTTCTTTGTACAAACAGTCATTAAGCTGCTTGAGCGACCCCAGTTCGATTCCAACTCACGCCCACCACCGCTGACGATTATTTGAAACGGACCTGGCCCTCCCCTAGGTCCACTCAGCCTCAAAAGGGTAACTGCTGTCGTGTGTGAACATCGTCACTGGGGAGACAAAGGCGGCGGGGCATCGTGGATCCAAGTCCCGGGCGAAGCCGGGTCATGTGTATGTGTGTTTGTGTTTATGTGTATGTCTGTGTGTCTCTATGTATGTGTGTATGTATGTGTATGTATGTGTTTGTGTGTATGTGTGTGTGTATGTATGTGGGTTTTTTTTTATGTCTTTATGTGTATGTCTGCGTGTCTCTATGTATGTGTGTATGTACGTGTGTGCATGTGTTTGTGTGTATGTATGTGTGTGTCTATGTATGTGTGTGTCTATGTATGTGTGTGTAAGTGTGTTAATGTATGTGTGTTATGTGTCTGTCTGTGTCTGCATGTATGTGTGTGTGTATTGTGTATGTGTTTGTGTGCATGTATGTGTGTGTTTGTGTGTATGTGTATGTCTGTGTGTATGTGTTTGTGTGTATGTGTGTGTATGTATGTGTGTGTATGTGTTTGTATGTGTTTGTGTGTTTACGCTCGCATTACACAAATGTGTTGCTGGTCTAAGGCGTTCCTCGCACAGCATTGCCGCTTTATTATTTCAGTCGTTTACTGCCTTACGCACCCTGAAAGTCGTGTGTGTCTGCAGCAAGCGCGTGTATGTGTACCTATGGACGCGCGCGCGTGTGTTGTGTAGGGGGAACGGTAGTGTAGTGCTTAGCGTGCTGTCTGTGTCTGTGTGTGTGTGTGTCTGTCTGTGTCTGTCTGTGTGTGTCTGCGTGTGTCTGTGTGTGTGTCTGTGCGTGTGTGGTGTGTGAGGAGCGGTGGGTGTAGTGCTTAACGCTACGCTGCGCTACCAACCCGGCGAACCCAGTTCCATTCCCGCTCACGGCCACCACCGGTGACGATTATTTGAACCTCCCCTAGGTCCACTCAGCCTCAAACGAGTAACTGGTGTGGCGTATTAACATCGGCACTTGGGAGACAAAGGCGGCTGGGCGTGGTAGATCCAAGTCCCGGGCGAAGCCGGGTCATGTGTATGTGTTTATGTGTATGTCTGTGTGTCTGTATGCATGTGTGTTTGTATGTGTGTGTATGTGTTTGTGTGTATGTCTGTGTGTGTATGTATGTCGGTTTTGCCGCCGTGGTGGATCCAAGTCCCGGGCGAAGCCGGGTCATGTGTATGTGTTTATGTGTATGTCTGTGTGTCTGTATGCATGTGTGTATGTATGTGTGTGTATGTGTTTGTGTGTATGTCTGTGTCACTCTCATCGCCTACAGCATCCCACGTCAGAGAATGAGGAGGTTTACCGCAGCCTTCGCTCGGAAGTTCGGAGAGCCGTAAGGCGTTGTAAGGATGGGTGGTGGTCGCGGGTTGCTGAGGAGATGGAGTCTGCCTCAGTGGCCCGTGATCACAAATCACTATTTAACTCCATCAAAAAAGTCACCTGCAGCGCCACACCTATTACCATCATTAGAGGAAAAAACGGTGATCCAATCTCCGACCCCCAGGAACAGGTTTGCAGATTTTCTGAGCATTTCTGTGAGGTCCTGGGGGAGGGAAATTCTCTCAGCCAGGAAAACATCATGGCACAAAGTGGGGATAACCCTGCTGAGGCTGCGGTGCCTCAAATATTGGAAGAGGTCACCCCCTGTGAGTGGCTGGCTGAGGTTCCAGCTGTTGAGGAAGTACTGAGGGCGATCCGGAGTCTGAGACCAGGGAAGGCACCGGGCAGAGATGATCTCCCAAGCGAAATGCTGAGGGAGGGTGGCGTTTGTGCACAGACTGCCCTATATGACATCATAACAACAGTCTGGACCACTGGACGGGTTCCGCAGGACTGGAAGGATGCCCTGGTGGTCCCCCTCTTTAAGAAGGGGGACCGCACAGACTGTAACAACTACAGGGGCATCTCACTCCTCAGTGTGCCGGGTAAGGTCCTGGCAAGGATTATTCAACATCGCCTTGCTAGGCACGCTGAGGAGGGGCTTGCGGAGCCCCAATGCGGTTTCAGGAAAGGGCGGTCCTGCACAGATGCCATATTTTCTGTCCGTCTGCTACAGCAGAGGTGTAGGGAATTCCAAAAAGACCTACATCTCTGCTTTATTGACCTGGTCAAGGCCTATGATACCATCAGTAGGACTGGACTCTGGGTTGTTCTTCGTGCTTTCGGAGTCCCTGACCCTCTGCTCACGATCATTAAGGACCTTCATGATGGTGAGCGGGCCCGGGTAAAACTACGTGGCCGGGAGTCGGAGCCTTTCCCTGTACACCTTGGGGTGCGACAGGGATGTCCTCTGGCTCCCACATTATTTAACATCTATTTTGACCGCGTAGTTCGTGAAGCCTTCAATAGCTGTACCGGGGGAATTTCCGTTTGGTACAGATATAATGGGAGGCTGATCGACGCCCGGGTGCGATCAAGGGATGGCTCCCTATTGGTCAACCACGTTATGTATGCCGATGATTTGGTAATAGCTGCTCATTCAGAAGAGGAGTTGGAGGCGCTGCTGCTGAGACTGGAGCGTGCCACTAAGAGGTGGGGCCTTACCATCAGCCCCACCAAAACCAAGCACCTGCCTGGGTATTTTGTACCATCGGACACTCCACCCCCACAACTCCCAATTGGTGATGGGGCAGTTGTGGAGAGAGTGGAGAGTTTCCCATACCTGGGCAGTATGCTTATGACCGGCTCCAGTCTATCAGCAGAGGTCTCACTCCGAATCAGTCGAGCGGCAATATCTTTTCATCGGTTGCGTAACGCTGTGTGGAAGCTACCTGGTCTGTCGCTCCGCACGAAGCTTCAGGTCTTCTCGGCCACGGTCATTCCCTCCCTTCTCTACGCTTGCGAGACGTGGACCCCCCTGGTGGAGCATCTTCGCCGGTTGGAAACATTTAGGCTGGCCTGCCTACGATCCATCCTGGGTTTAACCAGGCTGGATTGTGTGAGGAGCTCACAAATCCTTGAAAGATCTGGGCAAAGTCCCATCAGTGAGCTCCTCCGGCAGGCAAGGCTGCGTTGGCTGGGTCATGTAGCCCGCATGCCCAGCCACCGCATGCCTAAACAGCTTTTGTTCGGCCGGATCGAGGGGGCTAGACGGGCGCGGCACGGGCTGGAGAAGAGATGGAGTGATGTGGTACAGGAGGACGTGGAGCTGAGTGGACTTGCCGATGACTGGTACCAGCGGTGTCAAGATCGGCCTCAGTGGAGGAGGCTCGTGAAGGACGCTACTGGGCAGTTGGAGGCAGTCGCCCTCCAACAACAACGGAGGGCGGAGGAGCGACGCTCACAACAACGAGCGGAGCGCCGGGTGGCTAAAGCACAGCAAGTTGGCACAGTAGGGGGCACAGGTGGTGCATCAGCCAGTCATCTCGGTCATCTCGGTCAGTCGACCAGTGGCACCTGGGTCTGCCCCGTGACCTCCTGCCAGCGGGCTTTCGACACTTCACGTGGCCTCAAGGTGCACTTGGCCTGGCACAAGCATCGTGGTGACGTCACCGCCACTTAGTGGCGAATGGCGGTTGTTGTTGTTGTTGTTGTTGTCTGTGTGTGTATGTATGTCGGTTTTGCCGCCGTGGTGGATCCAAGTCCCGGGCGAAGCCGGGTCATGTGTATGTGTGTATGTGTTTATGTGTATGTCTGTGTGTCTGTATGCATGTGTGTATGTATGTGTGTGCATGTGT